ATGTCCTCACTGGCAATGGGCTATTTAAGGGGAAGCTGCTTAGCTTTTAATGCTTCTTCACATAGTAGGATTTGGGGGCTTACATTTTACAACCAGCTGGTTTAAAGCTAAAGTGTGTAATTTGTTCAATTTTAAAATGCATTTTTACTGTTATAGTGGCAACTATAAGAGAGCCATTCATAGGTTGATTTTTCACTGAAAACCAATCTCAAGTCTGATAAGGGGTTACAAGTCATTCACCACTTAATACATAAAGCATATTACTGTAACGTTTTAATTCCATATAGTATTATGAGATGGCAGGGACGAGGAAATCGTGGGATCGTGACTCAGACACCAAAATGTAAAGACAATTTATATTTTGTATTTATCATGTATACAGTTATACTACTGTAAGGATAATTATATTATACTTGCTGTGCTTTCATTCTTACCAGTTCTTAATAAATAAGTTTGTATTAGTGACATTATATAATAACATTGTATTTATTTTATTTACTTTTGACTAAACTTTTTACAAGGACCCCCCAACATTCCCATTTAACTCCCTTGAACAACCTTGCACTGTAGGAATGAGTTCTCATTCTTACCACCTCTGAGGAGCAGAAAATATGTAGAACAGTGTGAAATCCATTAGGAATTTTTGCAGGATACGTCATAAACTTTCAACTATGTGGTGGCCTTATTCTTCCTCACTGTGACTGCTGCACCACAGAAAAATGTATCTAATTAAAATGTTGATTAACTAGGACTGAGCGTTTGTATGGTTTGTTAGAGGTTCATTATAGGCTGAGGCTTCTCTGTAGCTCCCTCAAGTTATCATCTATTGTCAATGTCCTCACTGGCAATGGGCTATTTAAGGGGAAGCTGCTTAGCTTTTAATGCTTCTTCACATAGTAGGATTTGGGGGCTTACATTTTACAACCAGCTGGTTTAAAGCTAAAGTGTGTAATTTGTTCAATTTTAAAATGCATTTTTACTGTTATAGTGGCAACTATAAGAGAGCCATTCATAGGTTGATTTTTCACTGAAAACCGATATTTTCAGAGTCCGAATTAAGGGCCATATATATATATATATATATATGAATATGAATGAATGAGAGATTGCCTGAGTGAGATGGACTTCCAGTTTTCAAGTGGATCTGCGTCTGTCCGTTTTTAAGCTGCTCTTTTAAAAGGATGATGAATAATAAACCACAGCCAATCATATGAGAAGTGAGAGCGACAAAGAGAGTGAGAGGAAAGGAGTGTCTAAAAGCGAGTTTAGCGAGGCGTTTAGTGGCTGTTTTCACTCTTAGTTTGGCACAGGCAGTTGGCCACAGTCGAGTGCTTTCCTGACAGACATCAGAGCTGTTAATTCTCTACATGAAACATGAAGGCCTGCCCTGACTCTTCATCACCTCAGAGATGAGACCAGGACCTCTCTTCCTGCGGTTTTGACAATGTACTATAGAGCCTGCCTATAGGGAGGTGATGGGCCTTTTGTGGCACATTTAGTGAAATTAAAATGAGCGGCAGAATCGGCATGCAAACTGATAGATTCTGGATTACAAGAGGAAGCGGTAGTTTTGGTGTCTTAAGTCTGATAAAGTTATTTGGGAATAAAACATTACATGTCTAGAAGTAGACTATTTAGGACCACTTTTAACCTAGTTATCCAATATGTGTGACTGATGAGAGCCAGATCATTGGTTGTCCCCAGGAATAAAATGTTCAGATCAGAGCTAAATGCCATTGCTTTGGTAGTTCTCCAATTTGTGGAAATTTGGGCAGATTTACAGTTTGGGCACTGGGCAGAGCAACAATGAGAAATTTGCATTAATTCAAGCTGGAAAATTATCAGCTTAATGCGTTTCCCACCCAAGAACTGAAGGGACTGGAATTCATTCTGGCTCTTGGTTTTGCGGCCCATCCTATCGGGAGACAATTACCAGTGCGCTACAAAAGCCAGCTTTGGGCAAGATTAGCTCCACTTCTGGGAAGGTGATGAAAGCAAATGTCTTGCTGCTGGGCCAAAAAAAAAAAAGAAGCTGTTCTTCAGATCTGGCCACGCAGCACAGATGTCCTCCTCCATGTCACAGCGGCTGGCGGATTTCACTAACGAGGGGACGCCTCCAGGCCAGACAGGCTCCCTCGTGTTTGCATGGCAAATTTAGCAGAGATTTAATCCGTCCTGGGGTGCTGTGGCTCTAGGCTGAGTGTGACTAGAAAGATCTTTTATATTGGGCTTAACATCCACTATACTGAGAATTTCTGCTGTAAAATGAGAACTATATCCATTATATATTTTAGCCTGAAATTCCGGGTCTCCTTGTGCCACACATAAAATGTGTCATAGTAGATTTTTTATTATACTGATAAGCTTTAAATCTATCTTAATTTAAGAGTAAGCCATTTGTTTAGTGGTGCTATTAAAACATTGCTCTGTTTGTTTCAGCATCCAATATATACAATATGTCTCAGTATTGGCTCAGCCAGTGGTGAGTTTGTGGCAAGATTGTTTGAAAGTGACCATTATTTTTGCAATTCGGTTCGGTGAAGCCAGTGGTGCAGAAATTCCACACTTCAGATTTAAGTCCTAAATAGATTTCAACAGTTTGCCCCTCTATTCACTTAATGGAAATGAAAACTTGACCTGTGAGATATAAAAACAACAGTGTCCTTCATGCCCCTTTGTTTCAAATGTTTAAACTTTTCCAACTTTCCCAACAGCTAAAGCACATGTTAGCATTCTTAAATGTGCGCTAGGTCTTTTTTTTTTTTTTCATCTTGCTGGTCCTTGGTCTAGTGATGTGCATTACAGAAGCAAAGGTTTTCAATTACCATTGTTAATGTAGATATTTGCAGTCACCTGTGATTAATTTATGATATAAGGAAAGTGTCCAATAGCAGGGGAATACTAAGAAAACGAGTAATATTTAGCTGGTCACGTGACCTCAGTCACATCACTGTTCCATATACAAAAACAACTTGTATTCGGTTGCTCATACAACTCATGTTAGTGTATATGATTTTAAACATTAAAAAAATATATACTATTATTGCGTTTAATTGTAAAACTTTTAATGAGCAAACATAAGTGCACATTTAAAGTTTTGATGTAATGGAAGTAGCGACATATCTTTTTTCCGTGTTGCAAAGTACATCAGAGTGAAATGGATTTTTGAAAAATAAAAATAAATGTATGACAGAGACTTGCTCTTTGTTGTTGATTGGATGGAGGCAGATCTGAATGTGAGCTTGCAGTCCATTGTAAGAAAGCAGTGGGAGTTCTAGTATACGTCACCAGATGGAAGTCTATCCTTTCACCAGAAGATGAAGTTATTATATATTTTAAAAAAAAGTGATATGGATGAATAATTCACAATACGATTAAAAGCATGCATTTAGAAAATGTACATTTTCATGTCACTACGACTTTAATAATTGTATTGAAAAGGCGTCTGAGTGTACAGCACTCTTCTCCAACTATTTAAATATGCCTTTCAATATTTTCAGGAATCAGTTTTCCAGGAGATTTCATAGATGTACAAACATTTTATTTGCTATGTTAGATCGCTGCTCTTAAGAGACATTAACTGCTTGGAGGAATCTAAGAGTGGTATTATGGACCGTTTTGAGGTCAGCAGGTCATACGTTTGGGTACTATGATGACAACTCACAGTAGAAGTGTGTGGTACTTTGTGAAACAAATCAGACCCTATTAGAGAGATATATTTCATCCAGAGTCTTCCTAGTTTTAATGAAGTTATGAGAAAAGATGCTGTGGAGAAAAATCCTTGGTGGAGCTGGAAGCACTTGATTGATTTATAAATGCACTCGCTGAGAGCCTCGGTTTTTTGTGGGGTCATACGTTTGGGTACTATGATGACAACTCACAGTAGAAGTGTGTGGTACTTTGGATGAAATATATCTCTCTAATAGGGTCTGATTTGTTTCACAGAGTCTTCCTAGTTTTAATGAAGTTATGAGAAAAGATGCTGTGGAGAAAAATCCTTGGTGGAGCTGGAAGCACTTGATTGATTTATAAATGCACTCGCTGAGAGCCTCGGTTTTTTGTGTTTTTTTCTCTTTTTTTTTTCTTTCTTTCTTCCATATCACTATACACAGTACCTTTTCTAAAGGACAACTAATCATTGAACTCATACGGAGACATTAAAGATCACATGAGCGGATGTTATATCTGCAAACACACCTTCATGCCCTTCACATTACCCAAATGTGAATGTTCCGTGTCTCCTTAATTACTCCAAATACAATCATGCTGTAAACATATCACAATGAGGTTTTAATCACAATGTAACAGGTTATTAGACCCTAATGAGGGAGCTTAATTGTTCATGTTTTGGGGCATCTGCTTGGTCAAACCTGCATCATCCTTTCGGTTTAAAAATAGTTTTGGGGTCTCACTAGATCCATCTCAATTTTGACAGCAACATGTTTGATTTGCCTGTCCTTCAGTGAAAGTCAAGTCAAGGCAGCAGATGTTGCCTTTGCAATAATTCATGATTATCTTCAATCATTTTCTTTAACTAGCTTTTTGTTCCCATGGTGATGGAGAAAACTAGTCTTGCTGTAATTCGACGAGGGAGACAGCTGTCTATAAAAACAAAGCATCATGAAAGATTCACGTGTGTTATTATAACACCGGAAGAAAGTCAACCGTTCGTGTTTTGTGAGGGATCAGTGAGGCGGGAAGGATCTTGTAGAGTTGCATGGCTGCACTGCAGCACTGCTAGAAAAACACTTATCTTCAAAAAGTTTCAGAACTCTCGCCATTTAGAAATCGAACAGAGGTAACTTTGATCAAATGTATGACATGTATGTAAGACATTATGCTTAAAATCAGCAGAGGCTTATAGCAACACTACTAGAACTGGCACTATATTACAAAATGGACAAAATGATATGTGATATGACCATTCTTATTAAAATAAAAATCAGCTTGTCATACGCTATAACCAATTTTCCTTCATCAAAATATTTTCTTGTCTTTAGAGGGACCATACTTTGAAGCCATAGTTGGAGGTAAGTGCAACAGCTCACAGACTTTCACATACTGTATCTATCATGCCTTAATCTCAGCTACAAATGTAAAACTGTGCATCTTTTGACCCAAGTCAATATTTCTACCTAATTTGACCCTTTAAAAATGACTGTTGTCAAGGCTGCATTTCCCGAGAGCATTGTAAAGCCTAGGTAGATCGTAGAGACCATTGGTGTCAATGGTTTCTGCGATCTACTTAAGCTTACGATGGGCGTTTAGGTCTAGGCACAGCTGTTTTTGAGCCAATCACCTGACCTGTAAATGTCATGTGACTAATTACTCTGGAGGCAGAGAAAAATTGTTATAGATGGCAAAACAGGAACACGCACAGGCCAAAACCTTTCCCTAACAGCTATTCTAAACAGGGATATATTCCTCTGTCTGATGCCTTTATATCAATTTTCATTTCCAAATATCCAGTCCATTTGATGCTTTCAAGAGCTTTCCGGAACAAAACTGGGCACTGGTAAAATATCTTCTATAAGATAATGACATTACTTGTAAAAAAAAAATGTACTTATTCAAAGTGCATGTCTGTCAGTGGTGAAAGATGCTTTTTGCCTCCAGAGTGTGTAGTTAGCACTTTGATGATGGTCAGAGAGGCTTAAAAGATTTCTGTACAAATGAGAGGTAATTTGTGCTCAAGATGTTTCCTAGCCTCAGAAGATCTCTGGCTGAGCAAAAAAAAAAAAAAGTACCAGTACCACAGTGGTCTCACTTTAGCTCATTTACACATGAATAATCAGTGTGTGGGTTTGTTCTCATGTACTGAAGTAACTGGAATCCGTAAATTTCAGCAGGGTTCGAATGACACATGCCCTCAAAACCTTTTTCAGGCAACTGGTCTGCCATATCAGGAGAAATTGTGTATTTCATTGAGCATATTAGTTTGTTAGTGTGATTTACTGTAGTTCTCTACAGACGGGTCACTCTGAAGATTAACTTTCAGTGGTTAAGTCGGTCTCTATTTTCATTAGCTAAATTTACACCTGAATCTAACATTCTTTTATCGCATCTCCCTGTCCTCTTGCTGTCATATAGATGTTAAACATGGTTTTCTGTTAAATTCCCACTTGAATATAGCTAAAGATAAGTTGGGTCGAGAATAAAATTATGACAACTAGTTATAGACCAAGGCATAGACTAATTAATCCGCAAATATTTGAATATTTTAACATAATTGGCTAACTGGTCAAATGCAGAGACTGCTAAACAGAAGTGGCCTTTTTCTATCCCATTAGGTTTTATTAATATTTTGACTTTGTTTGAATTTTATTTTTAAAATATTTTCTATTTGTTAAAGAGGTCATATGACGTTGCTAAAAATAACATTATTTTGTGTATTTGGTTTAATGCAATGCGTTTATGCGGTTTAAGGTCCGCTATGTTGTTGCTCCTCTATGCCCCGCCTTTCTGAAACGCGTTGATTTTTACAAAGCTCATCGGTCTAAAAAGTGAGGTGTGCTCTGATTGGCCAGCTATCTAGTGCGTTGTGATTGGCCGAATTCCTCAAGCGTGTGACGGAAATGTTATGCCCCTACCATACTGTGATGCCATGTGGCCGCCTGGAGCTACGAGACAAAAACATGAAAACCAATTATAAACGAGGCATTTGTTGCATCCAGTGGGGACATAATTACTGATTATAATGACTTATACTGTCTTTTTACGCGTTGCGTATCGCGCTGCGTAAACCTAAAACCATGTCTGCATTTGTGATCAGAGAAACGACAAATAACAAGTGCTACTCTACACTGCTCAAAACTCACATTTGAATCATCAGTGGCAAATTCTTTAAATATGAAACTGTATTTACAGGCTGTGAGTCAGAAGCGCCAGACTGTCCTTGCAAAGTTGGAATTGCCCCACTTCATAGAAACAGACACCGGCATTGTAGGCTACTCTCCCAGGAAACAGTCCTCGTTGTTGTTAATACAACTTAACCACTGATTTCTAGTTGTGCTCTCTTTTGGATGGCCAAACAAAGTAGTTTCGCTTTCATTATGAAACCGACAGCGTCTTCACGACATGGCGGCAGCAACAATACTACAGCAAGAATCAAAGTTACGCCTTCTTTCTTTGCGTGAACGTTTTTTTTTTTTTTTTTTTTTTTTAAATAAATAACTAACTTTTTTTTTTTTTTTATCGTTTATTAGTTTGCATGGTTTTAGCAAACTAATAAAAAAACAATAAAAATTATTTCTAAATGTTTTGTAAATTTTATGTAAAATGTGAACATCTTATTTGCTGAAAAAATACAATCATGAATTTGTATTATATAATAATTATGACCATCAACTACCTTCAGATATTGGTATCGGCATCATCTTTTGAATCAGAAATATGTTCCAGATTTAGTACAAGTTAAGCTCAATCAACAACTTTTGTGGCATGTTGTTGACTAATACAAAACAATGTTTTTATTTTTTTTCTTTAATTTTATAATGGGAAAATATTTTGTGCTAACAAGCCCAGCAAAATCCATTTTAAAACCCTTTATCCGTATCAACCGCTGACAAAAACCCATACAGCCAGTAATGGCCCATTGAACTCAAAACAGTGTAGTCTGTTTACTTCAGGACACTCGGTCTCACCTAATAGCTGCATCCCACAGGCTTTCTTCTATTATAACCTCCTTTCTCTGTGTCTGTGTGTTCTAGTTGTCATTGCTGTGGTGGGTCTGGTCCTGCTTCTCCTGCTGGCCGTCATTCTGCGATACATGTACAAGCACAAGGGCACATATCATACCAATGAAGCCAAGGGCACAGAGTTCGCAGAGACAGCAGATGCTGCTCTGCGTGGAGACCCTGCCCTGCAGGACGCCATGGACGAGAGCAAGAAAGAGTATTTCATATGAGACCCAATAGCTGGCCCTTTATACATGTCATATAATAAACTCCTGCAGGCTCACATGATGCCTCAATCCTGTTTGCTGGAGCAGTGAAGTAACTGACTGAGCTCCCAACAAACAGAAACTAACAAGAAGAGTATTCAGAAATTCCTCTTTTAATATCTGATATCGTTTATATTTATTTGTTCCTGAAAAATAGATAAAATTGAGTATACACGAAAGAATATGCTGCATTCCTTGTAAAGCTGAGTGTCTGAACAAACATCAGCTCAGGAGAATGAAATGCTCTTCAGTTGAAGGGAAGGAAAGTCTTTGATCTTATTAGACAGGATATGAATGTGAATGACCGGTGATATTTCAGGACATTTAAATGTCAAATTTAAAGAACACTGTAAAAAAAAAAAAAAAAAACAAGACTGAAATTTATTGGTCTCATATCTATATACTGTATATGACATATAAAAGAATCAGGGATCAGATTCTTCTTTCTGAAGAAAGAAGTTAAATTCGAAGAAGTTTGTTCATTTTCTTAAGAGCATCTTATTTTTTAAAGATAAAATAGCTCTGGTTTTGTCTGAATGCAGTTCTTGCTAAAGACTCACTGACCAACTCAATGTAAAACACCTCAAAAGAATCTTTCTGCTCTGCCTGAAAATTACCGTAATGAGCGTAATAAACATGTACACTATTTTCTTCCTGACTGGTTTTACAGGAGTTCAGTACTCAATGTCACATTTTTAATGTGCCGTGTATTTTAAATAGTTATTGAGACTGTCTAAAAAATTGCACTCCATCTTTCTTGCACTAGAACACATAACTCATTCAGCAAGAACATTCACATATTGAAATAGGAAGGGAAATAATGCAATAGGAAAAACAGTGGGAGAAAAGCCATTGGGTTATAAGAGGCAGAAATATGTCTTATCCTTATTATTCACATACACTCTCAGGGGGTAAAAAAGCTGTCCCTGGGGTGGTACCTTTTTAAAAGGTACACCTTGTACCTAAAGGGTGCATATTAATAACTTAAAGGCACATATTAGTAACTTTTGAAGGGGTACCACCCCAGTGATGGCTTTTGTGCCTTTATTTTTGAGATTGTAGGTGTTAACCATATGCATTGTTCTGTTTTTATACTGAGGTAATTCTAAATAGAACTGTTTTCTTCTGCTTGTGAAAAAAAAGGATTTATGTAAGAATATCTATAATCTAATTGTTAGACTGAACTAATGAAATATTGCTTGTAATTAGAAGCAAAGTTAGTCAGTGGAGTAAATGAGAAAAAATATATGCTTCAGATGCCTTAACTTTTTTAAATTTCATGTTAACGCTTTAGCTACAAATAAAATGAATTATATTGCTTGTTCTAGTTGCCTTTTTTCAGTTTCCCAATTTTATCGAAGGAAGGAAGGAAAGGGTACACTCAAAAATGAAAAGTGTCATCATTTATACTTCCCTTTGTGTCTGTCAAAGCTTGTATTTCTTATTTATAGCATATTTTCTAAGCTGCTCCTTACTTTAAATTAAAAGTAAACAGTGACCATAGCTGTCAAACAAGATTTTCAGTGAATAATAGTTAAATTTAGGTCTGTTCCACACATAGTGTTGTCAAATGGCTCCAAAGACTTGGAATAAAGTGCGTGAGTCATATACTTCTATGATGCTTTTATGGTGCTGTTTTTGCTAAAACCTTCTGTTTTCCACAGAAAAAAAAAACATAGGCATTCAGGTTTGGAACAACGTGAGGGTCAGAAAATGATGACAGAAGTTTCATTTTTGCATGAACTATTTCCTTTAAGCTTACAGCAACTGGCAGTAAAGAGAGCTCCTGCTGTGCTCAGTTTAGTGATTTTTGGATCAAACAACCAGGCTTCGGGCCATTGATAGTTTCAGTTCCTCTTCATGGGGGAGTAATTAGTACAGGTGTTGCATTATTCACTCCTGGGAAACCAAAATGTGCAAATAAAATACTGAAATATTATTTCATGCAAGCCGTTTGTGTGGCAGGGGGACATGGAGTGCTATAAATATGATCATTTATAAATATTTGAGTTGATGTGTACCATGATAAATGATAAAATACATTTTTCAACGAGATCTCTTCTGGAAGATTTTTACCAAAATATGTACACATTATTCAAAGGCCAGTACAGATGCTGATGCAACAAAATGAAAATGCCAGACACTTTGGAGGTGAGCTACACCGCGAGAATCCGACACAAGTGAGAGATATTTTTCTTTTGATTAATTCTTTGCTTCAAGGATGGATGCTGAAAATAAGCCCTGAGCACCAAATCTCATCTCACCTTCTCACCCCCCTCTTCCTACATCCAGCGCTCTTGATTAATGACACCTCACCACTAAAGGTTTCTGCTGTTTTTTTTTTAACAACTGAAAGGACAGTTTTGTGTAATAGTTATATTTCCTGTCTTCCCTTATATTTTGATAATCAACACTGACACCTCTATGATTCATCATCCACAAACAGGAGTGAAATGTGCATGAGGACACAATTATCACCTCCCACAATGCTCCAACACAAATGCTTGTTTCCTACAGTCACATCACTTCATAATTTCTTAATGTTTCTTAAAACATTTTAAACTTTAAACATGTTCCCAGAGTTTTGACATCAGTGGCCTGTGAGGATAAAAGAAGTGGAAATATGCTTTCAAAAAAACAGGCTAGAACAAAAAGAACTTTTTTCTTTTTTTATTGTCTATTTCACAGCACAACAGAAAGCCAGATGTGATCTGGCAAACCTGAAACGTCATGTGCTTTAATGGAATAGTTCACCCCAAAATGAAAATTCACTGGAACAGATTTGGAGAAATTTAGCATTACATCCCTTGCTCACCAATGGATCCTCTACAAGTAAATGGGTGCCATTAGAACAAGAGTCCAAACCGCTGATAAACACAATCCACATGACTCCAATCCATCAGTTAATGTCTTGTAAAGAGAAAAGCTGCATATTCATAAGAAACAAATCCATCATTAAGACTTTTTTAACTTTAACTGTCACTTCTGGTCAAAATACCTTAACAGTCAATAATCCATAATAATGCTTCCTCCAGTGAAAAAGTCCATCCTCTGTTGTCCTCTCACATCAAAATCTACTGACACATTTGTTTAGAACTGTTTTCGCTTGTATATGTACTTGATATTTCTCTCCTGATTCAGACAAGATGCCTTTTTCACTAGAGAAAGTAATATTATGGTATAGGACTCTGACTATTTTACCCAGAAGCAATGGCTTTTCACTTCACAATATGTTAATTGATGGACTGGAGTCATTGGATATACTGCAGAGGATCCATTGGTGAGCAAGTGATGTAATGCTAAATTTCTCCAAATCTGATCTGATGAAGAAACAAACTGATCCACATCTTGGATGACCTGGGGGGTGAGTACATTTCTAGCTGTTAACTGTTCCTTTAATATACACCTGGCTGTCATTTTCTAGTGAACTAAGACCTGCCCTGAAAGGTTAGAGCAGCAATGCTCTGTGTAGCTGTATTTTAAGGGTGCATTTCTCCTCAAGATTAGATTCAAAAGCCTGTAACATTAACATAGCATATTTTAGACAAGACAGAAATGATCTTTTGCAGTGAGCAGTATGTCAATACTGCAGCTTTTTTCAGTTGTTCGGAAGTCTAACAGACTTGAAATAAGACATGGATTTGTCAACAATACAATACAAAACTGAACGGAAAATTGAAACTACATCAAATGAACACACAGAAGCCATCAGCACATCAGTTTTCCACTTTTCAAGCAGAACGCTCTTCTGTGACATTTCTGATGATTGAGTATTCAGAATCTCTCTTCACATAAAGTACAGTAGCTCTTGCCAAGCACAAATTGCTTTTGTAACATTTTGATTTTACTAAAATAACACTAGAGGGGAATAAAGTCGCAAGACTGTCCCCAACTGAGTTTAAAGCTTGACAGTCTTTTTAATTCACAAGTGCTGAATATCAAAGCAACAGCTTCAATGCAGAGGCTTTTTTTTTTTATCCACAAGGGCACTTATACTACTGTTCAAAAGTTTGGAGTCAGTAAGGAGCATAAATTATCAAAAGTGACAGTAAAAACATTTATAACGTAACAAAATATTTCTATTTCAAATAAAATGCTGTTCTTTTGTTCTTTATATTCATATTTGTGGAATACAATTTCCACAAAAAAAATTAAGCAGCACAACTGTTTTTAGCATTCATATTAATAAGAAATGTTTTTTTTAGCAAATCAGCATATTAGAATGATTTCTGAAGAATCATGAGACACTGAAGACTGTAATAATGGCTGCTGAAAACTCAGCTTTACCTTCACAGAAATACATTACATTTTTAAATATATTACAATAGAAATTAGTTATTTAAAATTGTAATAATATTTCACAATATTGATGTTTTACTGTATTTTCGATGCAGCCTTGGTAAGCAAGCAACTTTTTTCAACAACAAAATTGCTTATTTTTCAGCAATAAAAAAATCTTACCGACCCCAAACTTTTGAACGGTACACTAAAAATGTTTATTTTAATATTTTCGATTATTTGAGATGCTATTTAAATCATACAAAAATATTTTTTTTGAGAACTGTCTGATTGCATATGTATTATGGATGGTATCAAGACATGTTTGAATGCAAAGTTTGCCTACCATCCTTTCTACTAAGATGCCTTTATGGTTTTTAAAAGGCACCATTTATTTATTTTTTGCTGCCAAAAGCCAATGCGTGTCGTTTTAGCGGATGTTTGACTTAAATTAAAAATGCCATGTTATTTTTCAGGATACTAATGACAAACAAGCATTGAAGTTATTCAGTATCCTCTTGGTCTCTAAAGCACACTTGAATTTGTTCTTGTTCATTAGACATGACGCTATGGTGCCTTGGAAGTCTGTCTGAAAGCAGATCACTAGGAGGTTCCCTCACACAAACATGCTGCCTGTTAAGTCAGTGACTGACTGGGCAGCAAGACAGCTGCATTTGGCTTCAGACAGCCTCACACATCCTCTGATGTAAATCTCAAAACTTTGCATTTCGCACAGTTTCAAATGAGAGAGATTTGTAAACTAAATGTAGCCATAATGAACCACACTGTATGTCTTTACAAACCTGTATGAGAGCGAGAGGAAGAGAAGATGAGAGGCGAAGAAGTACACTGTGCTTTCCTCTCCTCATTCTGAATTCAGCCATTGGTGCGCTGGGATCACACTCTTTCACCTCTGACATAATGCTCACAACAACATTGCATCTCCAGCCACAGCACTGCTGAGACTGTTCCAGATCTGCTCGCTCCATCCAGCTGTGTGTCACTGGCAGGGTCAGAGCTGTGGCACAGAAAGCTGACATCTGTCCTTAGTGGGGTAGATTGAGGGAGC